TGTTTTCAATATCATGGACACAGACTGGATTAAATATCCATAAACACTGCATCATAAATCATATGAATAAATTAAGAGGATACATTTAATAATTTTAAGAATACATAAAAGCTTCAGTACAGGGTTTCTTATAAAATGTGTATAATTTTCTCCTAACACCAGCAGGAGGCAGATTGATTACCAGACAACTCCAGCAGGGGGGGGTGTGGGAAACTTGGCTTCTGCAACACACATGATCTGAGGTCTGTCTTCCTGCATATTTCATGCAAAACCAGTCCCTTTTCTGAGCTTTTACTTCAGTGTTTTTTTTTAAATCTTAAAGTGAATCTCTGTGGTTAACTTTAACCTTGAGAAGTGAGATAGCAACGCAACTTTTGCAGTGTTTTTACTAAATTGGAGCATACCCAAAACCGCCAACAAAACCTGGATTTAATTTAATTGATGGTCAAATATAAATGATCAAATTCATCAAAAGTTAAGGAACAACCTGGTTAATGAGTTGCTAATGATATGAGCTCCTTTAAAAATCAACTGTGACAGTATCTATGATCATATTCATGTTGATGCTAATGTGGATTATATTAGTAATTTATAAAATAATTTTACATTATTCTGAGATTACATTTTAAAACATAATCCATCTTGGATGTGGCATTTATGGTCCGGAAATATTGTGGGGAAATTAGTCATGTTGAATGTGTATGGTGAAAGAAGTGTAATTTGTTCTCCCATTTTATATATTTGCCTATGATTTTAACACAAAAAATAAATAAGTATTGTGTAAAAAGCTACATTTATAGCACTGGTTGCCTGAGGGAAGCTGTAAATATCGAAGTACCTTGGATGTCGTCGTTGAAGGTGCAGTATTTGTTCCTGTATTTATTCAGAATGCGGAAGGCATTGATGTTGGCGAAATCCTCAAACTGTATCAGACAGCTCATCCCGTACCTGCAGAGCGACAAAGACACATTCGAGATTGAAATTCAAGAACTTTATCGTTATTACGCAAGCACAACATGTTGTAGTACTTGTTGTCGGTTTAGGAATACTGCACATAGTGGTTTGATTATCACGCAAGTTTACATTGCACATACTCCAATAATGAAAGCACAACAGTATTGTCAGACCAACAAAAAGGCTTGAGTATTGCCACCAGCAGATTCTTTAGTCATTTGCATTTTCTACTCACTTGTCCGTCACTGCCTGCATGAACTCATCGACCAGCTCGTCGTATTCCTTTCCTCGGATCCTCTTGTGCTTCAGTCCGATGTACAGAGGGTCGTCGAGCAGCGCCTGCACCAAGAATCAATCAGACAGTCAGAAAGACAACTTGAAATTGCATTTCTGTTCAAGAACTAATCAAAGTTAATAGGTCAAAAAGGTCTAATAGGTCCTGATTGGCTTTCAAATATCAACAGCTGAAGGGGTTAATGTATTCTACAGCAATGTAAAAAGCAATTTTCAACTTCAACTTGCTCTACACACAGGGTTGTTGTTTGAAAAGAGAAGACATTGCTATGAAATACATTTTTGTGACGTGTAAATATTTCAATTCAAATGCCCGAACTTATTTATAAATGCTTATTGGGGTGGCTTTATCTATTGCTTTCAGAAGGCTTAAAAAGCATAGCAATAGAAACAATGGCCCAATCCTAATGGACCCTATCAGGTAATGACTGATAAGAAAAATCTGAATCAGAAACGGGTTTATTACCAGGTAGGTTCACACGCACGAGGAATTTGACACATAATGAGGCAGATATAAAGTCATAAAGCTTTCTGCAGCTCTGTGTTTAAACTCACCTGGTTGTTGGTGCCGACGTCCAGCAGCACAGGGAGGCACTGCTGAGGCTTCACCCCCCCGCAGGCCGTGTACAGCGCCAGCTTCCCAACAGGGATGCCCATCCCGTAACCTCCAAGGTCCCCAAGACCCAGGATACGCTCCCCGTCTGTCACCACAACGGCCTACACACACACACACACACACACACACACACACAGAGAGACATTAGTTGTTGATACTGAGTGGTGCAGGACTTACTTGGGAATTCCATTCGTCTTGAAGTCAATGAGTTTTTGATCAGATGCCTGAAATAAGGTCACGTTTAACACAAGCTTAAGATATTTGTTCATGCACAAAATACATCAGTAAATACTCCACTGGTGACTGACTAAAGTAAACATCATCACGCAGAACATCAGCTGTCTTTAGCTTAGCAGAGGTGACCTGAAGTCATGTGACCTACTTCTACCGCTTGCTTAAATAATTATAAAAGTGTAAAGTATAATTTCTCAGGCATAAAAAGGTTTACATCTGTACCTTAATGTCTTCTTCAGGCCAGGAGTTGAGCACGGTGGCGATGTGGCCTTTATCATGGATGGTGATGAAGAGTCCTCTGAAAACAGAAAGGTTGTAATTATTATAATTATAAATTAAGGCAGCAGTGTTGTTTGTGCTGTAAGGCTAAGTGAGTCAGGGTTGCATGTCTCACTGAACTATTTTGGGATTCCTTTTACATTTCCTGCATGGAAAGGTAGCCATTAAAAAAAGGATAGAAATGTATTCAAATGTATACTATAAGAATATTATGTCTATTTACTGCTAAATGGGAATTTTTGTATGACCACACACTCAGTCAACCACCTAACTGTGATTTGTTTTTGCTTGTATTTTTACCCTGTATCCCTATCACCACTGACCTCAGTTCACCCACCATTGGATATAATTACTCCTCAGTGTGCAGCTGAAACATGATGTGAACGCTAATGTCAAGTTAACAAATAATGATCTTGTTATTTTGTTAGGACAATGCAATTGAGATTAGATGGAGAGGAGATGATGGGCCGGAAAATATATTTTTTCAAAAACATTTAAAATGGTCCTTGGATGAGAAGGTTTATCACAATGCAGGAATGAAATAAAACCTTGGTAAATAGTGTTCCCGTGCAGCTATGGTTTATATGAGATGAATCTCACCGTGGTCTCCTGAAGGCGAGGCCGTACTGCTGGCAGGCCAGGCCCACCGTGGGAGTGTAGACGATGGGCATGAACTCCTCGATGTCAGAGGTCAGGACTCTGTAGAACAGCTTCTCGTTCCTGTCCTGCAGCGTCATCAGCAGGATGTACCTGAGACACAGAGACACATCAGACATCAGGATTTATGTTATAAGAAAGGTAATTGTAGTTGTGCTAAAGTATTTCTGCACAATTATCATCTGTCTGGAACCAGATGCAGCATAGAACACTATGCATGTTTGATATGGTTATTCTGTGTATGTGTAGTCATGGTGTTTATACAGGATGTCGTTCTTTGGAGATTATGTAACCACAATAACATCAAAATAGCAGCGCAAAATGCTGTCACGAAATTCAACATAGTGTATTTGAGAGAGATAAGGGGGGGGGGGGTTGGTGGAAGTAGGAAGTGGGTAGCACCCCACATCCGCTTCATATCCCTGATTCGGTTTCATAGCGCCATCATCAGGTCCACATTTCATTTCATCCAATACATTGGTTCATCACTGCAAAACTAATGTTCTTTTTATTTTGTTGTTATTTCAATTTTTTAGGTCTTAATGTGTGCACATGTAAAAATGTGTCTTTGACTGTGTATATATATATATATATATATAAATATTTGCACACATGTTTTTATGTACATTTGTTTTTATATTCGGGATTGTGGGAAACGGTATTTCGATCTCTCTGTCTGTACCAATTGGAAGATTGACAATAAAGTTGACTGTTATATTCTTAAGGTGCAAACAGCTCTCATAACTGCTAGTATGGCTTCAAACTTGTTTGTTTAACAGTGTGACATGTTGAAGTGCACATACAAATTCTGCATTCATGAGACAACTTACAGTGTAAATATAGACAGGAGATATAGAGTGTGTGTGAAGGTGAGAGAAAGGGAGAGACAGCTGAATATGTATCTGTCTCAAGGACTCACAACCAATACAGGATCCCCAAAAGTAAGGATTTCTAAAGTAAGTTACCATACTAAAGCTGTATAAAACTAGTAGTATATTATACTGTATAGCAATCAAACAATGCATCAGCATAATACAAAATATTGAGTATTTCATATGGTAATCTTTTTTTATGCAAATCAAGCTATTAGATTCATAGGAAGAGACAGACAGAATGTATGACATGCATCAACATCCCAGAAAAGACTCAAACCAGGGATGCTTCAGTGATGTTTATGTAACTACTAAGCCAAGCTCAACAAATATTTGACGTGACACTAAATAAACTTTTAATCACACGACGAATGACAACAACAAACGAGGTGCTAAAGAAGATTTTGACCAATCATATGAGAATTGGTTGAGCCCATTCAACATCTGCAGCTCCTTAACACGCATTTTTATAAATGTCTCCTCTGTATGAAGTGGTTTTGGTTACGCACATGGAGAGGATTCACATTTTAAATAAATATATATATATATATATATATATGTATGGGAGGAATCTTAGGGCCCCTTTTGCAATATGTTGGGTTTTTTTCCTTTCTGTTTTGTTATAGTAGCACTACTAATTATGTTGTGTTGTATTAACAGTCACTTGCGTATAATATCAGATTCGTAGGAGCTGTGGGGATATTGAGACGAGGTAAATCTGAACTTCTTACTTTTATCACTCCCTAAGAGTATGCGTTTATGTCGGGTTTTGGGCATCGATTTGTTTGGGGTTTATCAGTTACTTTTAAAAACATGTTCTTATATTCCTAAATCTCTGTTCTCTCACTTGTCCAGAGGGTTGATGCGGGTTTCGTAGCTCTTCATGACACGCAGCACCTGCACATCCTGGGAGAGGAAGCATGGCGGCAGCAGGCCGTGGATGCCCAGCTGGAGGCGCTCCTCCAGAGTGAACGCCATGCCCTGCAGAGTGGAAGAGACGCGGTTATACAACAGAGAGAGTTTACACAGGGTGAAGTCCACTGAATGAATAAGAAAGCAGACCTCAGTGACTCATGTGTTAGTCATGCCTTTTTGAGGTTGGTTATGACTCATTCCCACGCCCAAATAGAGTGGCATTTTTTGGTCCAAATTTAGCATTTCTGTTTGGGAACAGAGCAAACTTTGAAGAGTTCTTGGGATGTTTGTAGCTTCGAGCAGTAACACATCACAAGTTGCAGCTTTTACTCTGAAAAAGCAGCAACTTGTACCCCCCCTGCCTTCTGGTTAGAGTCGCTCCTCTGTCTCGGCGTTGGCAGATTTCCCAAAGAGTGATCGGAGGGGAGCGTGAGGTTTAATCTATTTATTCTCTCCAATAGTGTGTGAGCCTGAACTCACTCCCCTGTCAGCTCCATTTCTCTTTCCTCTTCCTCGCTGTATCGCACTCTGAATTTCCTCTTGAATCTTGCACGTCAGAGGAAACTTGAGGATTTCCCTCCTTCCTAGGCCAGCTTGTGTTTGTCTACGGCGGATCTGTGAATTTAACTTTACATGTCCCGTAAAATGATTCATGCTGGTGTGAAATGTGACACCGGATAAGATATTTAGTTGCTAATAGTGCCCCGGCATACGATCATAACGTCTACAGTTGTTCCACAAGCTGCATGCTTTCCATTAGGGAGTATTTTTAAGATACATGCCCAACAGTTTGACAACACTTTACTGTACAGCGGCAAGAAAGAGCATGGAGGACAAAAGGTCTGCCTGCCAGAGGTCATTACAGAAGATCCTCTGATACAGCAATGGCTTAACCAGATTATCATTAGACAAGGAGAAATGTCACAGCAAAGTGTTAAATTAATCTAATGGGACTGCACAATATGTGTGAATGTGAATGAGCAATAATCATCAAAGGAAGTACGATGTCAAGCAAGGAAAATGAACCCAAACACATCATGCTACAACTTTTTTACTGATTGTTAGAAACACCCCATCTGGTTTTCATTTTCTAAGACTAACCGAGAAGAGAATCTTTCTAATACAATATATTTACTCTAATTTTAGGGTTCTTGGATACCCAGTTTGTTGCTAGTGACTGAGATGCAGGGTGCACCTGTATCCAACCAACATTTAAAGCAAGCCTTGCTACTCGTCAACCACGCTCTGAAAATCAGCGACAAACAAAAAGGTTGTAAAAAGAAACGTAATGTCAGTTAAATGAAAATATGATGTCTAATGAAAGAAAAATGTTGACCAACAACAGGTACTTGTTCGTCATCTGGTGATACTTTCTCAAACATATATGGCAGAAACAAAATGGCAATGTCCGTTTTTCCAATATTATGCACCACTTTAGGGTCTTCTATTTGAATGGAAGACTGTTACATGTAAACGTCAAACGCAAACATGGCCGAAGAGAAAGTGATGGATTACCAGCGCTAAGATAAGCCCATCCGAGCGAGCAGGTAAAGAGGCGCCAAAGTAAACGCATTAAGCCGACTCCTAACCACCATGTAAACAAACGAGAACAGAGAGAAGCTAAATGAGGGGGTGAGAGGAAGAACCTGCTTAACCCTCGTAATGGCTGCCATCTAAACCTTATCATACATTACTGTAAAGTTACAACATAATATTACCACGTATAATAACACGTGTTGCATTTATATGGTTATGAGCTGATAGTCGGACATTTGAGAGGTCACTGCGACCTGGCCCGTTTACAGAGAGAAAGAGATCAGGGTCAGAAATATGGCCTTTCTAAATAAGTACAGTTAATGTATCCAGTAAAACTGAAATCATTTGTAAATTAATCGATTTGTTGAATGACAGAGAACATATTGGTGTCTATTTTGATATGCAATTGTTTTTTCAGTCATCTTTGTAAGAAAAGTATTAAAAAAGACATCGATTATTATTATTCCAACCCCTCAAATAAGGATTTGCTGATTTTCCATACATCACTTTTAAATACATTTTGGACTTTTGGAAGAACAAGATTAAGATGTCCCATTCACCTCATTAGAGTTGTGATGGAAATGTGACGATTTGGGGGGGGGGTTTCATAGACAAATAAAAATGTTTTTAATGATACAAATAAAATAAGATTCATTGATAAACAGGGTAACCGCTAGACAAAATACAACAATTTCGGTTCTGCTTAACGGTTCCTAAACGCGGTAGACCCGGTATTCCAGCTGGGTCCGATCTGCAACCGCGGTGCTGCGGTGGACACCGGTGGAATACAGGGCGGACCTGGAGAATCACAGAACGTCCGGGTCGTCAGCGGGCCGTTGAACGGCCGGCACCGCCCTTAATTTTTTTAAACGGCATCATATAAATTGCGCTGACAGCGACAGAGGTCCACAGTTGCCCCGCAGCGATGCTCCCCCGCCCTCCCGTAGACATTCACGAGCTCAGTCACTTCATAACACCAAAGATAGTCGGCGGGTAACACTCTGAAGTGAGGCTTCACTACACCAAAAAAGAAAAAGAAAAAGGCAAAGTGTAATGCCTGTTATAGCTTGCCACAGGCATAGCTCAGTTAAAATAAAGCACAGCTATTGTGCAATACATTTGTATTGCATGTATATTTTTTAGTAACAATTTTCAGTTAAAGCTTTTAAGATACAATCCTTAGTTGCAGCCTACGTATGTATCCCATATACTGTAGCTATTCAGTGTTAGTTATCATTACACAGAACCTGTGTGATAGTGGTAAATATGTGTAAAGGTCAAGAAAGGGTTATTGAAAGTGAACATGCTTAAGTCTGCACAGAAAACATGTTTAAAAACACCCATCAAGTAACATTAACTTATTAAAACGACTATTTTACATCCAAGTGAGAGTCAAAAGCTCAATTTGCTGACTGTTTCCTCTGGATTGCCCTGTGAGTCAGAGTCAGCGTGTAAATGCTGACTGGGCACCAGGAACTGTGACCGACTGTTATCAACCCAAATTAAAGCCATAAACTCAGCTATAGTGTCTGTATCCGTCCTGCTATGTACCCCCTGTTTGAACTGACTTTGGAGAAAATGCAGTAACATTACCTCTCCACACTGTGACTGCAAAAGACAGATGTAGAAAAGGACAGATACATAGGAGAACCATAGATATCTCCAGATGTGGTTGCGATGCCGCACCATGTGGTCTTACTTACATGGTATACTCTGTTTATATATTTTCTACCACCATAAATCATGGTATGCACGACATAATGTAATGCGAGACACAGTTATGTGAACAAAGGAGGAACACAGGTTAGATTTCAATTTTAAGTTTTATATTTTCACAACAAATACTTAAATACGCATTCCATATGTAAATTAGAAAACATAACGCTGAGTGTTTTTTTTCAAGAATGCATTCTTTTACGTTTTTCCTTAGTGGTTTTTCACCGTACATTACCACCAGGCCTGAGGCACTCAAATTCACATTGCATCTGAACATGTAGTGTACTTAAAAACTACAAAATAAAATAAAAATATTCAAATTCTAGTCACTGAAATAATAACCCTAACTCAGGGGTGTCCAAACTTTTTTCACCGAGGGCCACATAAAGAAATATATACCAAGGGCTGGGCCACTCACTAGAGGCGAGGTATTTTGCCTCTTAAGTTCAGTTATAAGTTGGAAAAATCAATCCAATGAAGGTCAATTGTTCTTGATACTTGAAAATGCTGTCAGGAAAAAAGCTCACAAAAACACAGCTCTCCGGGTTTGATGGAGAGCTGCTTGCCTTTCCGATTATCAGACGGCAGTCAAAGCAGCCAAAACAGAGTATATTTCTCTGTTAGTCTCTAAAAACAGCCATAAACCTCAAGTTATTTTTAATGTCCTGAATTCGATCATTAATCCTTGTGATGCTTCTCCAATTGTGCCATCAACTACTCTCTGCGATACATTTCTTAAATTTGGTATCGAAAAAGTATCTGCTCTTAGGCTAGCCTATACTAGTGCTACCCCAGATCCTGCTCCCTTTCTGTGCCCTGCTGTCCTCGACCATTTTGAGCCTGTATCCCTCTCTTCTCTCTCGGAAGTAGTCAAGCACCTGCGGCCGACAAACTGCGGCCATTACAGCATTCCCTCTCGCTTCCTTAGAGATGTTTTTGAATCAGTTGGAGCAAGTGTTTTATTGCTTGTAAGTAAACACTTCTCTTAGCTCAGGATGTGTCCCAGCTGCCTTCAAACATGCCGTGGTTAAGCCACTACTTAAAAAGAAGAATTTCAGGCCCATCTCCCAGCTTCCCTTTTTATCTAAAGCCCTGGAGCGAGTAGTCTACGCCCAGCTGCAGTCGTTTTTAACCACGCATGGCATCCATGAAAAATGTCAGTCTGGCTTTAAACCTATGCATAGCACTGAAACAGCCCTTTTAAGAGTTTTTAATTATCTGCTCTTAGCCGCCGATTCAGGCAGCCCAGCTGTCTTGGTGCTGTTAGACTTAACTGCTGCCTTTGACACTGTGGATCATAGTATCCCGTTGTCACGGCTTGAACAGTCCGCAGGCATTACAGGCTCTGCTCTTGCATGGTTTAGGTCTTACCTGACGGACCGTAGCTTCTCAGTGCAGCTAGGTGCCTTCTCCTCTGCTAAAGCCCCTCTTACCTGTGGGGTTCCCCAAGGCTCGATTCTGGGCCCCATCCTTTTCCTATTGTATATACTGCCCCTAGGTTCAATTCTCACAAAACATAATATCCCCTTCCATTGTTACGCTGATGATGTACAGAGGGAAAGCGTTCTTGGACGCCTTTTCAGCTCTGTTTCTTACTATATTCTTCCTGCCCCGTTTACCTTGAACTATTCTAGGAGAGTGTGTTGACGTTGACTCGTTGGGCCTTTCCTCCTGTACTTGTTTGTTCCCCAGTTCTTTCCTTTAACTGAATCTAGGAGAGGGCATTTAGGCCTCTCTACTTCCTTCTTTTGATTAGTTTAGTTTTTCACCCCCTTTCCGTTGAATTAATTTATACAGGAGAGTGCATTTACGTAGTCACGTTGTGCCTCTCGGCGTATACTTTGACTTTCTGTCTCTTTGGAGAGTGCTAGTACGTTGGATACGTTGGGCCTTTTCACTGTTGTCCCTCTTCACTAGTATCCCATGTCCCCTCTTCATAATTTGGGTCTTCATAATTTCCACCCTATTCTAAGGGGAAGCATGATGGTGCCTTTTATTTTCAATTTCTGGCTTTGTGTTTCTTCACCTCTTACTCGTTTAATATTTAGGAGAGTGCATTTACGTAGTCACGTTGTGCCTCTCTTCCTCTGTTTCTGGCTGTTCTTTTCATACCCTTGTTTCTCAGAGAAGAGAAGAAATACTATTCTAAAAAGGAGCTGACACATGGTGTCTCTTCACTTGTACACTTGAGGGGTCAGAATTCATATGGTGAGGGATTCCATGAGCGGTATGCGCCGGTCTGTGCCTTTACCTTGGACTTCAAATAGAACTGCTCGGGTCTTGATAGATTGAGTGGGGAAGTTCATGAGATCTTTCTAGAGGGTTATCAAGAATAACTTTTATCCAATGACCTTTTCCCTCTCTGTCTGTGTCTGTGTATTCTCTTGTTCAGATTAACCCAGCCAAATATTTTTTCTTGTTTTGTATCTATATCTACGCCGGGATCCGGAGTCGAGGCTGATCCTCTTGCTGTAGTCCTGTGTCTTGGATCCTCTATCCTGAGTTCTGGATTGAGTCGTGGACTTCGGGTCGTGGCTGAACCTGCCTCTGCGGTCCTGCCTTGGGTCTCGTCATGCTGCTTCCCTGATGGCTCCCACAGGATTGAAGCTGACATCCTCGTGGATTCAACTTCTTATTACAGACACATGCATTTCCTAACATTCGGTCTATATGCTGTAAAATGTATTATCTCTTCGATTTACACACGGCATCTATTGCACGTCTGTCCGTCCTGGGAGAGGGATCCCTCCTCTGTTGCTCTCCCTGAGGTTTCTCCCATTTTTTCCCCTTAAACTGTGGGTTTTCTCTGGAAGTTTTTCCTTGTACGATGTGAGTGTCTAAGGATAGAGGGTGTCGTTTTTCTGAACAATCTGTGCTGTTGTATTTGCTGTAAAGTGTCTCTACTGTAGGCTATTTTTATTATATGTACAGCACTTTGGCTTGACCAACAATCGTTTATAAATGTGCTATATAAATAAAATTGATTTGATTTGATTTATTTTGTTAGCAGCTCATTTCTTAAAACAGAAGCTTCAGATTGCTTGTCTTAAGAGGAAATATGAAGGGTATATTTCAAGGTTATGTAAATGTGTTATTCTGCTTTTTTATTATCAATTTAGATTTGTTTTCAACTTTAATGGACTGAATTTATTTGAAAATTGGGCTTAGCACATGAATACTGTGTAATATATTTGAACATACATATCTAAGAAGTACAATATAAGACAAGCTGAAGTTTGTTATATGTTAATTTGCTGAAGGCCGATCCAAAATGGTCAGCGGCCGTAGTTTGGACACCCCTGCCCTAACCCATCTGAAAAGTCTCTTGGCACTTAGGCACTTATTTGGGTCATTTTCTCCTAGAGACGAAAATACTTCATTAATTATAAGTCTAATAGTTGCTGCCACATATTGTATACGGATTATTTTGTATCTAAATGTTCTGTTGTGCTAAACTCATATACAGCCAAGCATGTCCTCACATGTGGGCAACAGGTGAGTTTCCAACCTCACCTTTACCTGTTGTCATGTCTATAAGAGAAAACATGGAACATTGTTTGCAGGTAGGCTATTTACTGACATGGACAGAAAGTGGGATGTGGGAAAACACATCCACTAACCTTGTTGAGGTGTGGGTTTCTGGTGATGTCGTATCCCCGCTTCTTGGTGGTGATGCTGCCCTTAGGACTGGTCCCGGAGTGGCAGACCCGGACAGCCTGCACGGAGGCCGGCATGCCCGCAGCCTGGAGCCCCGGGGAGAGGACCCTCATCCCGCCCGCTGCTGCGGAGCGTCTGCACAGAGACAGGGCGGCTCTTCCTGGGAGGGAGTTCATGCTGCCTGCAGGCCACCAGGAAGAAAAACACAACAAAGTGTCAGTGAAATCCTGCAGGTGAAACAATACAAGTCACCTTCTAGTTCAGGAAAAGGACGCATGACCTAGAGATGACACACATACCGTGAATAACACACAACTTATTCCTGTCAACAACCTGCTTCAATGTGAGTGAGCATTAGCAAGCTGAATCACAGCGATAAACAACAAGTTGCATACAAAATAGACAATACATTGAAAGATATTAAGGAAATAATCAAGCCGATGTCTTCAGTGTGTTGATATTAACAACATGAATTGTTAGGCTGATTTAGCTCAGTTGGAAAATGTTAGCTGTCCGCTGTTTTTATCTTAATTAAACATTTTCTCTACGCAACTTTCAGCACAGTTGCTAATGCTAATTAGCAAATGGCTAATATCAGAGTTAGCCTCACCTGAAAACGATGTGTAGCTGCTTCTCCTCTGACTTCAATCTTCATAGGAGGCGTTTCTTTGTCCAGTGCTCGCTTTAACAACCAGTTATCAGTATGCTGTTGTTGTGTCGGATCGACAGTTCCAGGATCCGTTGACTCTGAAGGTCTCACTTCCCTGCTGGATCCACCAATCAGAGCGCAGCATGCAGGCTGAGAGGCGGGACAACCCCCGTCCATCTCCCTCCTATGATCCTGAAACACAACTTTAGATTCAACATCTGCTCTGAAAATTCTACTCAACTCTCTTTAAATAGGTCTCACTAAGTCAAAGAACGTGCGTTTAGTCTATAGTGGCTAATGACTGTGGCATTGTTGAATTTCCTGGCTTGATTCTGTTTCATAAGGAGAAAAAAGCTGTGGAAAAACTGACATTTTACATCTCTTAGTCATTCACTGACACGCCTGAACCTCTGTGCAGTCTGCAGATTATCAAAAATATACTCTGGTTCCCCCTGCTGTCAGAAAAGCTTCTATACAGTCTTTTCCCATAGTTTAAACACATTTTCCTGAAACCAAACATAAAACTCTCAACACACACTTCCCCTGTTAAAACTCGACACATCTCTTGCCAAATTAACACTGTACTCAAAATCATGTCATCTATTCTCAAAACGGATTATTTACACCGAAATGAGACACTGCTATCATAGATAGAAGACCATGAAACACTACCATCAAAATACGATTTATAAATGTTGTGGCTTAATGAGCTCATATTAAACATTTTAAATAGGGCAGAATTGTTCCACTACTTTCCATTTTTTTCAGGCATTTTTGGCCCGAAATAGATAGCAATTTTCCATTTTGTGATACAACACAGGGGGATATATTGTGCAAAAATTGCAATCAGAAAAACATTGTATCAGCATATGATACAATGACTTAATCACAACACAGATTTCCAGAGTTATACTCTAAACTTAAAATCAATACTGTGAAATTGTTACTTCAAATATCACACAAATGGTACTTATTTTGGCAAAACTAAACAGAAATGTCACTGTTAAGTAAAATGAGAAACAATAAATGAATTATTAATTGAAATACAAAACTGACAAACTTCACAAAGGCTGAATATAAAAAGATTTATTTAAAACAAACACATTTAATCACATGCATCTCTATTCATGATTGTAACCAAACATTATTGAAAATCACAATTATCTGTTGGTGTTCATGCAAAAACTTCATTACCTGAGTCTGTCTTTCTACAGATGTATAAAGATTGTATTGCTTATACTGTTATTATGGATGGAAGGTAAAAAGTCACTTTAAATAGTACAAGAAATTATTAAGAAAACAATCAAATCTGTCTCACACAGAACATGTTCACAATAATGAACCTATTACTAAACAGTATACACCAATCTGATTGTTGAAACACAATCCTTTACTTCAAACACCAAAAAGGAGGATACCTTTATCCATCACCAGAAGGAACACATTTACAGCTTGAATAAGAGTCTCACAGACGCTTAATATAACTTCATATTATTTGCAATCACATACAGAACAAAAGTCTATTCGAACAAAATATTTGTAGGATCACATTTTACATCATCAATGATACTTGCACGCTGATGAACAGATGGAAGTGCCTACTGCTTGTCTTCATTTTCACCGTTCTGGAAACATTCAGGAAAAAGTATTTATTTAAAAAAGAAGAAGATAGAAATGCTTCAGATGACTACGCTGGTGCCGCTACGGGAACTTCTATCCTAAGAGAGAAAAGTGAAAGAGCAGGAATTAGGTTAAAAGGTGGAGATAATAGAATAAAAAAAAATTGGATATGCATGATTTCTGGTCTGTGAAATATCAAAAGGCTTTTTTGTATACTGTTATTTGAATAAAATACATTCAAATTGAAAGTACTGAGTATTCTCTAATTTCATTAGAATTTTAAGTAACATTTTTGAGAAAAAACATATGTATATAAATACAGTGTGTTTACATGCATGCACACAAACACAGAATAAACAGATGACAAAAGTTTGATTTAAAGGGGCCCTATTCATGTAGTGTTTTATATAGGTTTATGTTCATGTAAATGGTCTGCAAATGCTAAAATCCCAAATCCCTTCGAGAAGGACATTATTATAATGAAATTGCAATTTGAGTGGTTGACTGATAGCTAGCATGGCTAAAAGCAATAAAAGAAAGCCTAAAAAGAAACAAAAGGAAAGCACCAGGATTCAGAACTCATCAGAACATTGTTTCAGATTAGTATTCGTTTCTTACAGAAAGGCGGTTGTAGTTCCTCCGGCCGTTGATGCGCTCCGCCTGGTTCTCGATAGAGAAGTAGCTCGGGGGTTTCTCCGGCCAGTCCTTCCCGTTCCCTGCTCTCCTTCTACCGCTGCTGTCCTCGTCGTCTGAGCTCAAGGAGGCTTTGCGTCGCGGGGGGGGCGAGTAGCTCCTCTCCCTGCGGACCCCCCTGCTGTGCAGCTCCTCCATCAGGTCGTCTCGACTGCGAGCTCGAGGTCTGGATCCCCCTCCTCTCCTCCCGGCCGAACCCCCTCTCTCGTTCCTCGAACCCCTGTGTGGCGTTCTTGCTCGCCTGTTCTCCCATTCAGAGTCCTCGCTGTTCTCACGCAAGATCCCCCGCCTGGGAGGGGAGGCGTCTCTGTACCCGCGGGGGGGGAGGAAGCCCCCTACCGAGCGGTTGGTGCTCCCGCTCGACTGGCTGGATATCCTGGGACCCCCTCGGGCTCTGTCGCCACTTCCAGGTGTTCTGTGTAAGGAGAAGCTGGGAACACGCTGGATTATGGGAGCCAGGGTGATCACTCTTCTCTCTACCCCTCGCACCCCCATCTCATCCAGGGCTGACAGCATACTGGGGGGTCCCGGGGTGTAGGGAACTGAAGGAGGAGGGGGGGGCTGAGGCTGGTACTGAGGCTGGTGCTGAGGCTGAGGCTGAGGCTGGTACTGAGGCTGGTGCTGAGGCTGGTGCTGGTACTGAGGCTGGTGCTGTAGCGGCAGCATGTGTTGCTGAGAGTATTGAGCCATCGGAGGGACTCTCACATCCAGACCCCTCACCTGGTTCTCCAGGTAGTCCAACACCTGTCCGGAGCCTCGATTGCTGCTACGCATGCTGCTGTTCACGTGGTGTGGAGGAGGGGGAGGTGGCTGGTGCTGGAGGTCCATGGGGGACATCTGCATGGGAGCCATGGCAAAGTTTTGTTTGGTGGGGTAGTCCGAGTACGAGCCTGAAAAAAAGACAGCAAGAGAAAGACATTAATTATCTTACAGCTTACTATTATTTTCAGCCACATGGCGGCAGCAGAAACAAACATTAAACGCAACAGTGTAAAATGTTCATATTTAGGATGTATAATGTTAGCAAATACAGTAATCAACCACAATACCTCATTCACACCAACGCAACTCCGGTTCAAGCTCCATGCTAGAGCTTTTCAGGTTCAGAACCGGTTCTTTGGTTTATGTAGCGACAGCAGGAAACAAACTAAGTCGCTGAGAGGCTGAGGCCGGGCCTGTTTGCTATTATATGACACGCTAAAAAAGTATTCGCTGAGATCTGAAGCTCTGTTTCGTAGTATTGTAGTTTAATGAAAAAACTCGGTTCTCAGACATATACACTGTTATAATCAAAGCAATTGTATTCTTGCGGTCAACAAAAAAGTTCAACGGCCCTGTGTCACCCTCTCTTCCAGACACCCACACCTCACACAGGTGAACAGGATTATAATGAGTGCCACCCATACCCATGTGACCCAAGCCAACCAATCAATATTGATCATGGCTCCTACACACCAGCCTCTAATTATTAGGATAGTATACATAATAATTACTAACAATTCAAATGGGAGACATGTGACAATTATAGCTTAGTAATCAAGTCCATGCAGTTGCAGTTCATGTATGTGTAGTTTTCCTTCTTCTTTTCTGTGTACGAGTCACAAGTCAGTTAGGCCAAAAGGTACCACCACCTTGGCTCAGTCAAAGACAGTCCTTAGTGTCCTTTAAGTCTGTCAGTCAAAAAGAGTCAATACTGTGGAAAAGAAGTCACTGATGTTGGAAGTTCTTCTGCATCTTCTCCACGATATTCTCGCTTTGATCGCCTCACTCCTTTCTTAACGAGGAGCGCAGCATGTCCTCGTCATCTTTGACTCTGAGTCCTTCGGCCTTGTTTTATCCAATGACCTTTTCCCTCTCTGTCTGTGTCTGTGTATTCTCTTGTTCCGATTAACCCAGCCAAATCTTTTTTCTTGTTTTGTATCTATATCTACACCGGGATCCGGAGTCGAGGCTGATCCTCTTGCTGTAGTCCTGTATCTTGGATCCTCTATCCTGAGTTCTGGATTAAGTCGTGGACTTCGGGTCGTGGCTGAACCTGTCTCTGCGGTCCTGCCTTGGGTCTCGTCATGCTGCTTCCCTGATGGCCTCCACAGGATTGTAGCTGACATCCTCGTGGATTCATCTTCTTATTACAGAGACATGCATTTCCTAACATTCGGTCTATATGCTGTAAAATGTATTATCTCTTCGATTTACACACGGCATCTATTGCACGTCTGTCCGTCCTGGGAGAGGGATCCCTCCTCTGTTGCTCTCCCTGAGGTTTCTCCCATTGTTTCCCTTTAAACTGTGGGTTTTCTCTGGAAGTGTTTCCTTGTACGATGTGAGGGTCTAAGGACAGAGGGTGTCGTTTTTCTCATACTGATATTCTGAACAATCTGTGCTGTTGTATTTGCTGTAAAGTGTCTCTACTGTAGGCTATTTTTATTTGATGTACAGCACTTTGGCTCGACCAAAAATCGTTTATAAATGTGCTATATAAATAAAACTTGATTTGATTTGATTTGTAGAGCACGTTGGTCCACTTCATCCCGTTCTCCATTTCTTTGTTTGCAGCGGGGGCCTTTCTCAGCAGCCGTTGAAGGAGAGGGCTTTTGTTGGGATTTGAGAGGAGGCTTCTTCTCATCTTTAAAACACTTTTCTTTTTACACTTCTTCTTTGACTCTTGCTGAAAAAAACACTCTTTTCGCAAACTTCTTAAACTTGAGATCCTCTCTTGACATTCCAGCTTGTTCCTCCAATCTGCATTCAGGGAAGTCTGCGCTGAACTGCTGTTGCCAAGGTCCATCCAAATTCACAACTGAGATT